AACTGACTCACTCTGTTATAAAGCAGAAACTAACACACCATTGTAAAGCAATTATACCCCAGTAAAGATGTTAAAAAAAAAAAAAAAAAATGAATGGAATCAAGGAAGAGTGAAGGGGAAAAGGAAGGGACAGAGAAGATGGGGAGGAAGCAGCTCAAGGGGGAGCCTCAGTGATACAGTGAAAGAGCAAGAGAAGAGAGCTGGGTTCATTGTGTGGGAATGGCAGAAAGGTGGTGGTTAGTGAGCCAGAGGGGAGAGGTCCAGAGAGCATTGGATCAGCAAATGACCACAGGATGCTTGTGCCTGGGGAAGAATTCTTTTTATGGGGCTATGGGTGTGTATCCACTCCATAGACTCCATGAGATTATAGAAGGGCCACATCCTCTTTCTCAGTCCATATGTGTCCCTAGCACTCTTGATGCTCACCGTTGTTGAAACTACATCAAATGGTGTAGTATCTCCATCTCACAGTACGCGCGCACACACAAGCACACACACACCCCACCGCAAAGCTCTCTCTCTGAGTCCTGCCAACTTCAGCGCAGCCCACAGAGGAGTGTTGCTGGATGTTGACACCTTGGCACTTCTGGGCCCTCCACCCCTAGGCCTACTCCCTCCGAGACCTCATCACCGGCCTGACCCCATCAGTCTGCTTCTGTCACCAGCAGAATGATCAAAGAGTTGAACAGACCTTAATATTGACGCCAGTGACTTCTGGCTTTTTCTAGGACAGTCACCTCCTGGAAAACCTGAGATCTTTAAATGTCGTTCTCCCGAAAAGGAAACATTCACCTGCTGGTGGAAGCCTGGGGCAGATGGAGGATTACCTACCAATTACACGCTGACTTACCACAAGGAAGGGTAAACGTTCTCTTCTCTCCTAGCAAAGCGCACCTGGGTGTCCTCACTGTCCAGGCCACAGGAACACTGACTCTGGGTTAATTGCCACGCTTCCCTGAATGGACACCGATAAGGCTCCTGCTACTGGAGGAAGGGAATCAAACATACGCGTCCACATCTTCCTCTTAATGTCCCTGCCGAGCTCCCTCATGCGCATAAGCTCAGCCACCACCTTGGCAACACAATCCAGCAATGCTCTCATTGCCTGTCATTTAGGCTGTAGCCCAAGGTCATGTATAAGTGTTTCCTAAGTGCTAGTTAATTTTAGATGCTTATCTATCAACCTTGTGCCATTTATCATTTTTTGTAATCATTACTTTTGTAACCTAAGAGTATTATCATGTAATCTTTGACAACCGTGGTACATTAGCTTTTCGAACTTGTTTCTTGTGCAAGAAAATAACAAGCCCTACAAGAAAAGGAAGATGAGGTGTTTTCCTTAGGAAATCCATGGACCCATGATCTCCCAGAAGGCATATTGGGAGCTAAAATTGCAATGCAGAGTAAACAGGGTGATCTCTGGGCAAGGAGTTCATCACAGTTACAATGAGACCCTCCTGGAAATCCAGGGACGGCTGTACCCTTCCCCAGTGAAGAAAATATTTACTAGTAGAAACAGCTGGCTCACTTCCCAGTGACAGGACTTAGTGGTACACAAAGCTGCCATCCCTTCTGGGACCCAAAGGGGTGTCAGGCAAACAGATCTCAGGAGCTCAAAGTGGCAAGCAAAGTGGAATACGCCTGCACACCTCTGTGGTGAGTCTTGCATGGAGGCCCCCAAGTCTAAATGTGAGCAGCCTAAGGAGCCTCTTGGGCCTGAAATATCTCCTTTCAGAGTCACTTTTCTCTGTGGCTGACTTAATGTAATTGGAAATACACTGCAGTTTGTATTCCCTTTAATCTTTTTTTAATGAAATGTAATTCAAAACATATGTGCAATAAATGCGGCCTTGTGTATTCCCCGCCACCCCGTGTGTATGTGCAGGGGAAAGTGCCAGTGTCCTGAGATGACCCAATGGTGGTTCCCTGAGGAAAGCGGTGCATTGGCCACAGAAAACTCAAGTGTTTATTGGCAGGGGGCATATATCACAAAGCCCACAGCAACCTGTAGACAGAAAGGGCTGGTGAGAAACAGAGTCACTGGGGCTGTGATGTGACCCTGCCACCCGTTCTCCAGCACTCTCTTCCCTTTGCCACCCCCAGCTGACATGCGCAGGGCATAAGAACTTGGGGAGCCCTTCTTCAGCTCTGGTTTTTGCATCTGGAATGCCTGTTGCCCAAAATCCAGTGGTATTGATCTATTAAGAAAAAATCTAGACTCTTTTTACCACTTTCTTACTGACTCCTAATACATTACTCGTTGCAGAGAGACATTCACCCATGAATGTCCGGACTACAAAACCAGTGGTCCCAACTCCTGCTACTTTAACAAGAAGCACACCTCCATATGGACGATATACATCATCACAGTAAACGCCACGAACCAGATGGGAAGCAGTTCCTCGGATCCACGTTACGTGGACGTGACTTACATAGGTAAGGGGGGGGGTGATTGGCGAGGAATTTGTTACTCCAATATGAATCTACCAATAGTCAAACTCAGTTTGAGTCTTCTTGGCTTATGGATAGATTCCCATAAAGAAAGATGAGAAAATTCACACCATCCTTGCCAACTGAGTGTTTTAAACCAATTTTGGGGATTTAATTAATTTTTATTGGAGTATAGTTGATTTACAATGTTGTGTTAGTTTCTGCTGTACAGCAAAGTGAATCAGTTATACATATACATGTATCTATTCTTTTTTAGATTCTTTTCCCATATAGGTCATTACAGAGTATTGAGTAGAGCTCCCTGTGCTATACAGTAGGTCCTTATTATTTTATATATATATATATTTTATATATAGTAGTGTGTATATATAGTAGTGTGTATATGTCAATCCCAATCTTCCAATCTATCCCTCCCCCTCCTTCCCCCTTGGTAACCATAAGTTTGATGTCTACCTCTGTGACTCTATTTCTGTTTTGTAAATAAGTTCATTTGTACCCTTTTCTTAGATTCCATAATAAGTGATATCATATAATACTTGTCTGTCTCTGTCTGACTTACTTTTCACTCAGTATGATAATCACTAGGTCCATCCATATGGCTGTAAATGGCATTATTTCATTCTTTTTTAAGGCTGAGTAAACCAATTTTTATTTATGATGGTAAGACAGTAAAATCCTTATGCCTTCCTTTGACCCTTCTTCCCATCCCCTTGCACCCAACAGGAATGTTCTATTTAGCTTCCCTTATCAATCCTTCTCTCCAGCCCTCCCCCTGCGACTGATGTCCCCTTCTCCCTTGGCAAGCTGGGATTTCTCTTCTGAGATTTCTCTCCCTGAAAGACAGAGGTGCTTCATGAAGTTGCAGCTCTTAGAAGAGTCTCATCTGCTTCTCCACCCACAGGAATTGCTCCAAACTGCTTTGCCCCAAATTCAATTCTCAATATACATATGTTTCTTAGCAACTGGAGCTATTCTTTTCAAAATAAAGAATTTGGGGAGTCAATAGTGCTGCTCGAACAGAAGGCTGAAGGCCAGGGTCCCAGCCACGATGTTTGGAGAAGTCATTAGCAAAGTGAAGCAAAATCGACCTGAGAGCTGCTTCTTGCTTTGCGTGATCAACATTGAGCTGCAGGTGCAATGAGACATAACTGCAGTGATCTGTATGGTGTAGCAGGGACGACAAAGGGAATCTTAGGACAAGAGATGGCTTGGCCTTAGCTAACCTAAGGAGTAGCTAATTAGGTTCAAGGTCACCCAAGTCTTCCTGACTTACCTAACACCAACCGACAAGGAAAATCAGGCTAGGGCTCTCAAGTATTGGGCTGTATATCATCCCATTAGCGTGTTATCAGTGACTGATCCTTAAAAACTAGAAAAGCTTCCAACATCAACTGGTACCCATTTGAATTCTGTCTCTCCCCAGCAAATTATTGCAATGAGCATGGGGATGGAAACAGAATTTGATCTTAGCTTAAGAAAATCAAAAAGTAGCCCCACTGACAAATAGGAATAAAATAAATTCCTTTCGTATAAATTTACTGGAGATATGAAGTCTTTAAAATGCTAAACACCAAATAATTCCATTTTCATAGTTTCTTTCTTAAATTTCCTTGTCCTCAAATATTCCGCCCTCAAGTGTTAAAATATTTAATATTTAAGGTCAAAACAGTGAAAGCAAGAGAAGTTCTGAAATGCACAACTGCTGTAATGAAGATTATCCACAAAAACAAAAATGGGATTACTAAAGAAAAGTAGTATGTTTAAAAAGTGAAATTAATGAATGGATCAAATTCATAGTGACTCTGGAAAACAAATTCTCTGGTGAAAGACTGTGTGGAGCCATACTTTTCAAAATAATAAAAGAAGTGTTCATGGAATTCTCATATAACCCTGCAGCATACAGTGTTGGTGACAGGCCACAGAAGTTCATTTACAACGCAGTTTTAACCACAGTAAAATCTACCAACTTGAATCTCATCCAGTGATAACCTGCAGTACAAGATATTGGCACATAATCTCTCAGAAATAGATTTCATTGTTGTCACTGAGAAATATTTAGCTTTGCTGAAGACACTTGAAATGTGATTCTCAACTGGGTGCTCTCTGCCTCCCATAGGGTACTTGGCAATGGCAGGAAATATTTTTGATGTTTGCAACACAGGGAGAGAGGGCCTCTAATGGGGAGAGGCCAGAGGTGCTGCTAATGTCCTACAATGCTCAGGAAGGCCCCTACCACAAAGAATTATCTGGTCCAAAATACGCATAATGCTGAGGTTGAGAAACTCTGCTTTCAAGGATTCATCTTGAACATTTTACTTGCACCTTTGTACAAAGATGTTTGGATCAGCATTTCTCAGTCTTGTGTTCAAATTAAAACTTATATTAAATAACTGATGTTTATTTAGTAAGTCCATATAAAACAATCTTTCTTAGGTATTTACTTAGTAACATACAAGCATTAGGATTAGTGGCAAATTTTCTAAAGCTGTTTTTTTAGGCAACTATAGAATATAATGCCAAGTCCACTAGAGTTACACTCGCTCTTCTCTCACCTGGAGTGGAGACTGATTTGAGGAGGTAAGAAATGAATGGAGAAAATGTGACTGGCCAGCAGGACTGAGACTAGGGTAAGGCAAGCCAGCACCCTAGGGCCCTCACTCTTTTTCTTAATTTATTTTAGTTAAGTATAGTTGATTTACAACGTTGTGTTAATTTCTGCTGCACAGCAAAATGATTCAGCTGTACATATATATATGTTCTTTTCTATATTCTTTTCCATTATGGTTTATCACAGTATACTGAGTATAGTTCCCTGTGCTATACAGTAGGACCTTGTTGTTTACCCATTCAATATATGAGTTTGCATCTCCTAATCCCAAACTCCCACTCCTTCTCTCCGCCACCCCCCTTCCTCCTTGGCAACCACAAGTCTGTTCTCTATGTCTATGAGTCTGTTTCATAGATAAGTTCATTTGTATCATATTTTAGATTCCACATACAAGTAATATCATATGGTATTTTTCTTTCTCTTTCTGACTTACTTCACTTAGTATGATAATCTCTAGGTTCATCCATGTTGCTACAAATGCCATTATTTCATTATTTTTTATGGCTGAGTAGTATTCCATTGTGTGTGTGTGTGTGTGTGTGTGTGTGTGTGTCACACATCTTCTTTATCCATTCATCTGTTGATGGACACTTAGGTTGTTTCCATGTCTTGGCTATTGTGAATAGTGCTGCTATGAACATAGAGGTGCATGTATCTTTTTGAATTATAGTTTTGTCTGGATATATGCCCAGGAGTGGGATTGCTGGACCATATGGCAACCCTATTTTTAGATTTTTGAGGAACCTCCATTCAGTTTTCCATGGTGGCTGCACCAATTTACATTCCCACCAACTGTGTAAGAGAGTTCCCTTTTCTCCACACCCTCTCCAGCATTTGTTATTTGTAGATTTTTTAATGATGGCCATTCTGATCGGTGTGAGGTGATACCTCATTGTAATTTTGATTTGCATTTCTCTAATAATTTGCGATGTTGAGCATTTTTTCGTGTGCCTGTTGGCCATCTGTATTTCTTCTTTGGAGAAATGTCTATTTAGGTCTTTTGCCCATTTTTCAATTGGTTTGTGTTGTTTTTTGTTTTTTGTTTTGATATTGAATTGTATTGAATTGTATTTTGGAAATTAAGCCCTTGTTGGTTGCATCGCTTGCAAGTATTTTCTCCCATTCTGTACGTTGTCGTTTCATTTTGTATATGGTTTCCTTTGCAGTGCAAAAGCTTGTAAGTTTGATTAGGTCCCATTTGTTTATTTTTGCTTTTATTTCTATTGCCTTGGTAGACAGACCTAAGAAAACATTTATACAATTTATGTCAGAGAATGTTTTGCCTATATTCTCTTCTAAAGGTTTTATGGTGTCATGTCTTATATTTGTCTTTAACCCATTTTGAGTTTATTTTTGTGCATGGTATGAGGGAGGAGTGTTCTAACTTCATTGATTTACATGTGGCTGTCCAACTTTCCCAACACCACTTGCTCAAGAGATTGTCTTTTCTCCACTGTATATTCTTGCCTCCCTTGTTGAAGATTAATCGACCATAGGTGTGGGGGTTTATTTCTGGGCTCTCTATTCTGTTCCATTGATCCATATGTCTGTTTTTGTGCCAATACCAGACTGTTTTGATTACTGTAGCTTTGTAGTATTGTCTGAAGTCTGGGAGGGTTATGCCTCCTGCTTTGTTATTTTTCCTCAGGATTGCTTTGTCAATTCTGGGTCTTTTATGGTTCCATATAAATTTTAGGATTATTTGCTCTACTTCTGTGAAAAATGTCATGGGTAATTTGATAAGGGTCACACTAAATCTGTAGATTGCTTTGGGGAGTATGGCCTAGGCACCTCACTCTTAAGGAGGCGTTCACAGACCTGTACTTAAAGGAACCTGACATCAAATACCAAGTGTCTCATAACCATGGAGAGAAAAAAGGTAGAGAGATCTGCCTCTAAGTCATATAGTTCTGGATTCAAATACCCATATTTGACTAAATATGGAGTTTCTTTCATATCTACAGTTGAACCAGACCCTCCTGTGAACCTGACTTTGGAATTAAAACAGCCAGAAGACAGAAAACCATACCTGTGGATAAAATGGTTTCCACCCACCCTGGTTGATGTAAGATCTGGTTGGCTCACACTCCAGTATGAAATTCGATTAAAACCTGAGAAAGCAGCTGAGTGGGAGGTGAGTCAACCGGAAGATTTTGGAGGGAACCCTGTCCTTTGGCAAAGATGAAGTATCCCAACTGAGACTAGGTCACGCCCCCTAATTATTGGGCCACCATGTTGCCTTCCCGATGCTGGTGTTACCCACCCAGGTGTGGAAGGGCCTTCTCCCCTCCACTGGGATGGATGGGGGCTCATCTTTACAGCTCTCCCATGACTAGCTCCTTGCAACTGAACAGCCACTTCTGCCAGGTTTTCAACCCACCTCCCACAGCATATCTTAGATCTAACATCTGTGAGAGTACTTAAATGGCACTAAGTGGGAGGAAAAAAATTCAGTGTAACCAGTCCATGGCTAATGGCATTTTTATTCACTTTAAAATACTTCATTGTAAACAAATAGTACAATAAATTATAGGCATTATGGTAATCTACTCTTAAATAGTTTAGTATATGTCTCTTTTAAAAAGGGAATATTTCCAAATATAGCCAAAATAATAGGATCACACATAGAAAACTAATTGAAATTCCTTAATATCATCTTTTTGAATCCCTTAATATCATTAAAACATGGCCAGTCCATGTTTTAATTCCCCCAATTGCTTCAAAAAATATTTTTAACAGCTGGTTTGTTCAAACCAGAATCCACTCCAGGATCACTCACTGTGGCTGGCTGATATATCCCTTCACTCTCAACATGCTCAGGAGACTGGGCCACTTGTCACATGGAATGCCCCACCTTCTGCATTTGTCTGATTAGTTCTTTGTGAGGTCATTTAACCAATTTCTATGCCCCCATATTTCCTGTAACCAGACATTAGATCTAAAGACCTGATTAGATTCCAGGTGAACAATTTTTGGTAAAAAAACTTCAGAGATAATATATATGCTTCATATTCCATCATATCAGGAAACAAAGACCATCTGGTCAACCTACCATAAATGATGTTAAAAGTGGCCCCTGGATCAAGGAGATCACATCTTGACCCCTTGATTGTAAAGTCAAGTTTAATTTGTGCACAATTGCTTCAGTGTTCATGAATTCCCAGTTCTCTTCCACCTAGTGGCTTTACATCAGTGAATGATCCTTGAATCAATTATTTTATTAGAGTTTAGAAAAGAACAATTTTCCAATTTTATTAACTAGTCACCTTCCATAATGTAGAATTTAGAAAGCAAGGTGTAGGCAGCAGAACATTTGTCTTTCTGAAGTAGAGTTCCCAATGGAGAGATAGAAAGCCTGTTGATTTTCGTGTGAGTGGTATTTAACAGGAGGAAGGGTGGGGCTGAGAGGGTGGAATGGTGTGAACAGGGTATTTACTAAGTGTGATCATTTGGCATCACTCCTCCAATAGTTTACTGCCTAAAGAAAAAGTCTCTTTCTTCATAACACAAGTCAGAGTGACTTCTCTTTTCCTTGGCCTCCCTTAGACTCATTTCGCTGGGCAGCAGACTCAGTTTAAGATTCTCAGCTTGTATCCAGGACAGAAATACCTTGTGCAGGTTCACTGCAAGCCAGACCATGGATTCTGGAGTGAGTGGAGCCCAGAGAGCTCCATCCCGATACCTAATGGTGAGTGTCTTGGCTCCCTTTTGCTTATACTCCTAAATATTTTTAAAATAGAATGAGTTTGGTAAATTTGTATGTAGTAACTACTAACAGAGAAACTATTTTGAGTCTTAGCCAGAAGAATGAGTAGAGGTGAGTTTATCATCTCTCCACTCAACACAAAGACATTTGTAAGTACAGCATTGCTCCCTGGGTCACTGTCAGTGAGGACCAGTTTCTAGGATAAGTCTGCAGTCATGGGCTTGAAATGTCTCAGAGGGCTTGATGGTCAGTCATTCTGCCCTCCCCATCTGCCCCATTCCTATCATTCAAGGTCATCATCTAGTTCTCCCAAAATTTGTAAGGCGCTATCCCATCTGAAAAGCATGAATTGATTTTCAGTCCTTGAAGACAATTACATGTTGCTCTCTTAGTCAAGGAACAGTATATAAAAGACACCTAATTCTTTAAGTGCCATTAAACATGGTGGCTGGCATTCTACAGGGAATGAATCATTTGCATTTCCAAGTACTTTGCAGTTTACAAAGTCTTTACCTTGTTTGTTCCTCCCAACCATCTCAAGTATTCAGAGAGAACAGAATTGCCATTAGGAACTGAAAGGGAGGAAACTAAAGGTCAGTGGAGTTAGAAGTCTTGTCCAGAACTGCATGGCGAAACCTAGCTCTTGTGACAACTTGCCTGGCCAAAGTATCAGGGCTTGCATTGGCATACTGGAAAGAGCACCGAATTACAGGCCATAAGAGTGTGCATCCAGTCCAGCCCTGGCTCTTGCTAAATAAAAGCACAGGGTCTAGAAGCAGAAGGCCTGGGTTCAAATCCCAGACTGCAACTTTATAGCTACATGCCTCTGGGTAAACCACTCATACAGTCTCAGTTCCTCATCTTTACATACAGGCAGTGTATGTAAAGAGCTTAACATCATATGGCTTTTACTGCGAACTTAATAAATGTTAGCTTTTTAAATTATTATGACTGCAACTGACCATGTACCCTTGGACTTCCTATATAAGTATCGAATCAAATAATATTTTTAAGGATTTTGAAAATTTTAGAGAACTATAAAAATATATGCCACTTTAAAATTTAATAATATTGGAAAAAGTTAAATCCATCATTAATGTTACTCTGGATTGATGTTCAAATCAGAAAAGGTGTGGAGGGGCGGAACTTATGTTCAAAAGTTTCATTGATTTGTTTTGTTTGTTTGTTTTTAATGATGCTGTATGTGATCAAAACTTTCTGGCTGTTTGCTTTTTAGACTTCTCAATGACAGATGCAACCGTGTGGATCTTTGTGGCCGTTCTTTCTGCTGTCATCTGTTTGATTATGGTCTGGGCAGTGGCTTTGAAGGGCTACAGGTATTTCGCTGTCTATCAACCCTCCTCCCAATCATGGTTGTCAGGGATAATGGCCAAGAAAAACAATACAAAAATGATGGAAACCTACAGATAATTCAAGCACCTCATTTTAGCCATTAGTTGCAGTGTGTTCACCATGAAAATCTTTTATCAGTGCTATAGCAAAAGTAGAATAGACACATTTGAAGTTGATGCTCTTTCCATCAAATGGAGGCTCACAGCTGTGAAATAGTAAAAATCTGGCAAGAACAGCAAATAATCCCCTAGTCATTTCAGAATCAGCCAGAGTTAATTAGCCAGAATTCATTTTGATGTTGACCTCTAGAAGTATTCATTGTGTTCACCACTGATTGTTTAGTTTCACTTCTATCTACCATAGTCCATGTAGCAGCTATTTGGAGATAACGCTAATCTCTGAAAAATTACAAAGTGAAAACATGTGTCATTTATCTTATCTCACAAATCTTTTTATAGCATGGTGACCTGCATCCTCCCTCCGGTTCCTGGGCCCAAAATTAAAGGATTTGATACTCATCTGCTGGAGGTAAGTGCCAGAGGTAAGAATGTATTGTGACCAGCTTCTCTATACTCATTATCTTTACACATGAGCACACAGTTCCCATTAGTGCAGCCTGGTCAGCTCGGCCATCCTTGACCAGCTGTCCCTCCTCTTCAGCAGGTGTGTTTACAGAAAGATGTGGGAAGCATGAGGGTACTTACCATCAGATACTGAGTGCCAGAGGACAATGAAAGAAAGCCAAGAAAACCTCAAAACACATAGGAATGCTTGCTAGGTTTATCAGGTCTTTTCATAAGCCCCATCAAAAACATTTTGTACAAATAATCAATTGAGAAAGAGGGTGAATATTTTGATGAATACGAAAGAGGAACCTACCACCAGCCCCTCCGTCATACTTTGGTGTAAGCTCTCACTTGAATGTTCCTTACAGAAAGCCATAGTAACAGAATATCCTATTGCAATTTTTGCTCAGTTTGAGAGCTCAGTTAAGACTGGCTCAGTACAGTGGAAATGGTGCTTGCCAGGGCCCATTTAGACCAATTCAAGTGGGAATGAAATTTAAGTGTTCCCAGTGAAAAGAGGTGTTAGAACATTTTTAATTTCTCTGCAGGTTGAAATATATAGTTTCAATTTGACCTTCTGCTTAACACTGATGTATATAAAAGCAGTCACCTACACATTGTCACTTGACCCCAGCCACTGTGAGGCCAAAAACACAAGAATGTGAAGAGTGAGTCCTGGGGAATTTGGCTTGATGGCATTCACTTTGATTGCAGATATCAGAGCAGGAACTAGAGCCCCAGAATTTGGGCTCTTATTCTGCTATCCAGTCTCTAGCACTGACCCTTATAGACCCAGCATGAACATCTCAGCTAACTAAATGAATTATTGTTTAGCTCGCAATTTGACCTTGTAGCCACAGGGACTTAATGACTTTTAAAAACTGCTTTTTGTGTCAGAAGAAAAAGTTCTTGGATTTTTAATGCCATTACCCCTAATTCTCAAAAGAACCTTCCCAGATGGGTACTATTATTCCCATTTTACAAATGGAGAACCTGAGGATCACAGAACAGCTCGTCCAAAGTCATAGAGCCTTTAATAAGTAATAGAGCCAAGATTTAGGCACCAGTCCCTGACCTAAGTCAGGGCATCTGGAGAGGTGTGGAAAATAAGAAGAGGAGGCCAGAGGAGAAGTGTGGGGAGAGGAGGATAGAGAGAAGGAGGAGGGAGAGGAACCGAAGGAGATGAAGGGAATATGGGCTGGCAGCAATCGGGGGAGGGAGGGGAGGGAGGGGAAATGGAGCAGAAGGAAAGGAAGGAGTGGGATGGGAGGCGAAGGGAGGGATGGGGCGGGAGAAGCAAGGAAGAGGAGAAGGGAGAGCAGAAGGAAAAGATGACAATCAACTTCCCACTACCAGGCTCCAGAACGGGGGGGTGAGGGAGCCAGTTAGGAGGCCAGCAACCAGATGTCAGAACTAGTGAGTCCCAGTACCAAGTGCACGCATGAGCACTATGGGTTTAGATGTTTCCCAAGCTTTTCTTATTTAATACTTATATTTTTATTGTATGCACATATACTACTTGCCCATTCAACTCGTGATCATTATTCCTTAGAGAAAGACTAAGTTAAAATCGTGAATTGACTTAAAGAAAAATATTAGGTGAGTAATAGTCCAGGAGGTGATTCTAGATGGCCTGGGACACAGATGTCTGACGTTTGGGAAATTCTGTGAGGCCGTGGCCACATCCCACCTGCCCGTAGTCAGGAACACAGACTTGGCTGTGATGTCCATTTGGAATGTTATGAACCTGACAGCCTTCTTGCCTTGTGTCTGTGTTTTAATAGAAGGGCAAGTCCGAGGAACTTCTGAGCGCCCTGGGATGCCAAGACTTCCCTCCCACTTCCGACTGCGAGGACTTACTGGTGGAGTTCTTAGAGGTGGATGACAGTGGGGACCAGCAGCTGGTGCCAGCTCACTCCAAAGAACACCCGGGGCAAAGCGTGAAGCCCACGCACTCGGATCCCGACAGTGACTCTGGCCGGGGCAGCTGCGACAGCCCTTCCCTTTTGTCTGAAAAGTGTGATGAACCTCGGGCCAATCCCTCCAAGTTCCACACTCCTGAGGGCCTTGAGAAGGCAGAGAAACCTGAAACAAACGTTACCCAGCCCCAAGGCCCTCAGAGCACAAGCGTGGAAGGCAAAATCCCCTCTTTTCATGCCAGCGGATCCCAATCTTCAACGTGGCCCTTGCTGCAGCCCCCCAGCCTGCACTACTCCAGGTCATCTTACCACAGCGTTGCTGAGGTGCGTAAGCTGGGCCTGGGCACGGCAGGTGCTGCATCCACTTTGTTGGACAAAACAGACACACGTGCTTTAAAACCCTCGCAAACCATTGAGACTGGCGGGGAAGGAAAGGCAGCTGAGCACAGGGAGTCAGAAAGCTTCCGTTCCAAGACTGACCAAGATGCGGCACGGCTGCTGCCCCAGGACAAGACCCCCTTGACCTCTGCTAAACCCTTGGAGTACGTGGAGATCCACAAAGTCAGCAAAGATGGAGCGCTGGCGCTGCTCCCGAAACAAAACGAGAACAGCAGCCGGGCGGAGAAGACCAGCACCCCTGAAACCAGCAAGGAGTACTCGAAGGTGTCCCGGGTGATGGATAGCGACATCCTGGTGTTGGTGCAGGATCGGCGAGCGCAAAACCTGGCTCCGTTTGAAGAACCAGCCAAGGAGGCCCCGCCATCCCTGCCACAGAATCCAGCCGCGGTAGACCTGGCCTCCTTCCCCGTGGCCCCGAGCAACTGCAGACTCCAGCTCGGTGGGCTGGATTACCTGCATCCCACAGGTTTTATGCACCCCTTTCAGTGAGAGCTTGATTCATGGAAGGATGGGCTAAAATGTGATTTTCCTTCAGGTAACACTACAGAGTACATGAAATGCACTCTACCAGCGAAGACTTGAGAGCGGGGTTAGAATGACACTACCAAACTCCCAGGTCACTCGTCTTCATGATCCATTTTCAACCAGTTGCCTCTTTCTCCAACAGCTGATTCCAGAACAAATCGTTTAGTTTCGTGTGATTTGTAGAGTTACGTTTTGCTATCAGTTATAAAATTATGTGTTCAATGAAATAAAAGCACATTGCTTAGTATTCTTGAGGGACAGTGCCAATAGGTATATCCCCTGGAACAGGCTTTCATGTTCTGGTATGTGACAGAAGGATATCAACTAGTCAGAACTGTTTACCACAGGATGATGGTAGATATGAGAAAAATGCCATGAAAACCACTTTTGAAGACCAATTGCTTAACCTTTGCACTCCTCTTTCATTTTATTAGGATTAACCAAATTAAACACACTTTAAAAAAAAGAGTGCATTCTAGAACACCTGACAAATTGTTTACATCCGTTCCTATTACCTTAATGACGCATTGCCAATATGCAAATAAAAAGGATGCCTCCGATTTTTTCTTAAAATAGTTTGAATTTATTAAGCATGGATTCCCCCCCCCCCAAATTGTATTTCATTCTGAAGTTTCTGGAGAATAGAATTTTAGAAGGTGAAATTTTCTTACATAAGAGGCAAATGAGTTTCATGTGGCGAATCCTTCTAAAATGTTTTCCTGCTTCATTTCAGCGTGATAATTTATTACACACCCTAGTCTTCTGTTAGTGAAAAAAAATCCCAAAAGACTAACTTTAATTTAAAAGATCATTGCTAACAGAAATACTGCCTTACTGTACATACAAATTCTACTTTAATATAAACCCGTAAGTTGAACAATGTATTTTTGAAGACTATTTTTCTATCACTTAGGTAGGTAAAACACTGTTTTCTACCTTCCCAGTACAGCTGTTTACCTATTCAGTGGGTACAGTATTTTCCATTATGTGGTTATAAGGCGTATTTACAGTACAGAGTGAGATATGCAGTCCCTGTTTGTGAAATAAAATGCCACACCAACCCAAAGCCCACTGAGGAATATGAAGCAGATGACAATATTCAGTTTCCAACACAGTGTAGTATAGTTTAGCTGATTCTTTTTATCTCCAGGAGACTTTAAGCAGCAATCATAGAGCTAGAGTTTTAGGGCTCTCCATAGACCAGAAGTTACTTCTCTTGTAATTTAGGGCTACTCCGGGGCTTCTGCTCTTCTCTGGGTGAATATTCATAAAGCTACAGTGAAAAAGGAGAGTGGTAACATCTAACGCACTGTCCTAGAGAGAGGGTTCTTGTTCTGCTTTTCTGAACAATCTTGGGCAGCAAGATTAAGATTAAGTAAAGCCAGGAGTTCGTGTCTCTCTGGAGTAGATCCAGTAGATCCACTTGCAAAATTTTGGCAGGGGCAGGGAGAGCACTCACATCAGAAGTATCCAAAGAAAAGTTCCAAGAAACCAGGCATCTGTGGATTAGTGGGAACCGCTACAAAGGCCAGGGTATGGTAGTTGGAAGCCCCAGGTCAGTTCCAAGGGCAGGCTCTCCAAGAGCGGTCAAAAGCCTGGATCTCCATTTTAAAGAGAACATCCATGACTCATCGAACTGCCTGCGTCTATTTCCATTTCACCTGACAGCAAATCCATTTCTGTATCCACTCACTAGCTGGAACATAGAGAATTTGAGCACCCTCTGTGAGTTGAATATTCCACCCCAATAAATCCATGTGGATAGGAGCTGGACTCAGAAGTGGCCTGATGTGTGAAAGTGAACACATTGCCAGAGCTTCCAGAAATGCAAAAGTAATAAATCTGAGGCTCTATTCTCCCAATATGCAAACAACATGTTAAGAGTGAGGGGGCTATTTGGGAAAGTTGTCCAAGTTTATTCAATCCCCTAGATCCTTGCTACTCAAAATATGGTCTGACCAGCTGCATCAGCATCACCTGGGCGCTGCTTGGAAATGCAGAATCTCCACCCCACCCCGCCTCAGAATCTGCATTTTGCTAAGATCCCCAGATGATTCATGTGCGCAGTGAAGTTTGAGAAGCATTGCCCTAGATGATCATTTCCACTAAAGCTTATTTTAGTGCATGAAGCCATCCTCTCCTGGAAAGTACAGGTTGAGTCTATTTGACTTGCACTGAACGGTACTGTAAGAAAAAGGCATCATTTTTTAAGACATATTAGTGGTTTAGGATTCCCATAATGGTAGAGAATGACCTGAAAACGTGCACACAACTTCTAAGAGGTCCAGGGAATATATTCCACCTTGAGAGGCATTGACAAAAGACTCTGCCCTTCACAGCCGATACAGACTAAACCTTCCCCAAAAATAGTCCAATCTCCTCCAAGATGTGTATCAATCAGTCTGATAGTATGAAAATTCAAAAATAGTCTGCTTTTGATATATAATTTGGCATATATGGAAAAAAATGTCATGGCTGAAGACTCAAACTAAATCCTTACAAAAAACACCAGTTAGCAAATAAATTACTACCACTTGTTAACTAAAGCCAAGACTATAAGTCTATGGTCAGTTAGCACTCTTTAATAAACTACGTTTTTTTCATGGTCTAGCCTATTTTCTGTCAAGCAATCCCCTAGTCGAATGAAAGGGGGTCAAGGGACCCAGCTTCTAATGCTAATTATGTTACCTTAGACAGATCAACTCCCTTCTCTGGGCCTCAGTTTCCTCTGAAGGAAATGTTAGGCCGGATAATCTCTAATGTCCTTTTAAACTCCGACTCCTTGATTCCATGATTCACTGAATAGTGTCCAGCAAAGATAATTAACCAATGCCTTGTATCATAATTAAGCTAACAGATAGTTGCCTTTATCATGGAAATGCAAGTCCTCTTCAGTGATGTGCTCATTTTATTTCACTTGCAAATCATCAGGTCCAACTGATCTTAACATATTGCACATGCATTTTATAAATCATGTAGGTATAGAATCATAGTCTAAGATTATGTGCAAATATGCGTGTAGAGAGAAGAGGCATGAGATATTTTTTAAAAGACATTGAAAGAGGCTTTAATTTTTAGAAAGAAAAACACTTTTCTTATATCAGGTGGCTGATTCTGGGTTTTTTTTTTTCTCCCATGGACTATGTACCACCATTGCACACATGGTTTTAAAAGCCTTAAGCTCTTAATTATAAAGGTCATATTTTTATAAACAAACACCTAAATATTCAAGTTACAAAGCCCACGGAAAAGGGATAGCCAATGGATGATTTATGGAAGCTTATGACTCAAACTGCAAAATCTTCTCTGGTCAGTTTTAGTAAATGGGCACAAGGCACCTCAAATGAGCACAAGTTATAATCAGCCATGTCACTGACATTTAACAGACTCTCCATCTCCTAAGTGCCTAAGGCCAATCCTGGTAGGCAGTTATGTACTAAATACTTGCTTTCACTGGTTTGGTCCAAAGCTGGTCAATTCCTTACCATCTGTACGAGATGAAGGAGTTTGACTGTCCTGTAGTGACCCAACTGAATGGGAGAATCCGATGAACAACCAGAGGCACTTGAGCCCCAGGGTACAGCTTGGCTAAGGAGGGTCCGTCCCCAAATCTGCCTCTTTCTCCAGGCTGCCCGCCACTGCCCATCACTGGCAGAAAGACTTGACTCTGCCTGTAGTAATTTCCCTATCTCCTTAGAGTAGACATGAAAGAAACAGATTTGCACACATCTTACAAAGTGCCTTTCTTTACTTTTTGTTTTTTTGAAGTTTCCTTTTCACAAGAAAAGTGTATCGATTAGAAAGTAATCTTACATTTTAGATAAATGAATGAAAAAGCCAGAAAGAGAATGACAAAACGGTCTAAGGTCCAATCAGCAGCTATTGAGTGGATTTTAATTTATTGTTTAATTGAATTGCCACAGAGCTGATGTGAATAGTGTAACTTACTTTGACAAGAAATTGACTCTGGCTAGGATTTTGGAATAAGCCTGCCACCCTGTTACTTGAGACCCTCAATTTGAAAACATATTAATGTACTTCTGAATGGCTTGGACTTGCATGCCGGGGCCTGAGAAGGGCAATGCATGCACCGTGGAAATTTGCACACGTGAAGAAAGATGTAAAGGCCTCTGGATTACCATCCGCAGGGTTGCTAACGTAGATTTGTCATTGATGAAAGCCTCATGTGTACTTCAGTGAACCAATTTCTTTTTCTCCTTTTTCAGCCCAAGCATCATTGTGTTGTTGCTAGGGTAGTGGGCTGAGCACTCAATTTCCAGGTCGAGGTCATCCTGCTGCCACTAAACAGGCTGTGTGATCTTAGGCAAGTCCTTTAAACTCTAGCCACTAGTTCCCTCACCTGTTAAACGAGTGCATTGGCCTAAAATGTTTCTAAGACCCCTTCCGGCTCTAACTGTCTTTGATGCTCATGATCTAAGTAAAGTCCAGGGTTTCCGTAGAAGGCCCAGGGACAGTGCCGGGAAATATTGCTGGTGTGACCTTAACTGGAAGCAGTGGACAATGTGGCTGTGACACTGCTGAAGAGAAAAACAGATCCATTCCTCCAAGTCAGATCGATTTCATTTAGCATCCTTGCTTCTTTTCTTCTTCTTATCTGTCCATCTTGTAGGCTTCTTATGCTCTCACTCCAGGGCCTTTATTTTTCCTGAGAGTTCATTATGTGCAGTAGCAACCATAGGATTTGCAAGAAACTAAATTATGAATAAACGATGACTTTGGCCTGAGTCAAAGGACTGTGTCAAATGTTAAGTCAGCCACACAGATATCAAGGCCCAGGTTGAGGGTCACAAGTTACCCCATTTAAGCGTCCTCAGGCTTAGATATTCTAGCCCAATTCATTCATTCAAAGGCCATTAATAAATCCAGCTACATTGACGACTCGGCCGTAGAGGTCTTAAGCAGAAACTTAAAAATACAAAATGATTGCTTGAGAGCTTATGACCTAACCAGAAGTTCTCCTTATAGTTATGGCCTGGACTTATTTCATGATTAGTATACATGTCATCTGCAAATCAAACAGGAGTTCTCTCCCTAGATTTGTGTCTTTCAAGAAGGTGATTTTTGGTCTGAGACCATTACATGGTATCTATTTCAATAAAAGGAAAGAGATAGAAAGATAGGGTGTTTCCAAGTGTTTGGGCAACTTAGGATTCCACAAAATGCTGAGAGTAGCCTGCTAAACCCAAATTTTATTGGACGTAGTCACTCTATAATCTATTCAGTGTTCTGAGTTTATGGCTAAGAGATGTACGTAACTCACAATACCATATGCCCATGACTGTTTTGTCCACATTGATTTCTTTGATTTTTGCTCTGATTTCATGTCAGAAAGCACTGAGATGTGTAAAGGGGAAAAACATGTACTGTTTACATGGTTGTTGTCAGTGAAGAGAGAGACCCTT